CCCCTTCAAATGTCCCCCTCCCATCCAGGTCTGATCCTTCCCCCCAACAACGGATCTATTGGGGACTGGACCCGGAGGCCACGCCCAACTCGGAGGATCACGCCCCCTCGCGGGAGGCCACGCCCACAAAAGCCCCATCCACAAGCTCCGCCCCTTCTGCAAAGCCCCTCTGCAAGGGGAGGCCCTGCCCCCGGCATTGTGCCCACTCCAGCCAATGGGGGGAGAGGTGGGGCCCGGATAAGCCCCTCCCCCAGCCACCCGCTCCAATCGTGGCTACAAATAGGATGCAAAATAAATGCAAATCAGATGCAAATCAGAGGGCATCTCCTCCCATTCTTTGCGGGGGGGGTGATGGTATAAAACAGAGCATGGTCAACAGGGCCCAGGCATCCGGGGAGGCATTCCACATAGGTGTCACGTCCCATAGGTGCCACTTCCTATAGGTGACAGTCCATAGGTGTCCCATCCCGCAGGTGACATCCCTTGGGTGACCTCCTTTTGGTGTCATGCCCCAGAGATGCCACGTCCCATAGGTGCCATGTACTCCATAGGTGCCATGTACTCCATAGGTGCTGTGTCCCTTGCAGGTGCCGTCCCCTGGGTGCCACGTCCCTTGGGTGTCCCCCGCCGCGTGTCCCCTGCCCGGCGCTGTCCCCACGCTCACAGCCGCAGGTAGTCGGCCACAAAGAGGGCCAGGATCTTGGCCAGGTTGTCCACGGTGGCTGCGTCCAGGTTGTCCTCGGTGTCCTCATGCGTGTGCCACACCCGCGGGAAGGGCGTGGGGACCAGGTGTAGCACGGGGACACCTGCCCCGACAGCCCGTCAGCCACCGCTGGGGACGCGGGGACACAGGGAAACATCGGGGGGGACACGTTGGGGACACGGTGGGGACACAGTACCTCTGTGCAGGAAGGGCAGGTGATCGTCCTCGACGGGACCGGGTGGGGGGCCCGGCTGGAAGTAGAGCCGGGGCTGGGGGTGCTCCCGGAGCAGCCCCAGCTGGTGCAGCCGCTGCTCTGCACGCGGGGACATTGGGGACACACATGTCCCCCCCATGTCCTGCTGTCCTCCTCCCCCCCATTCACCCCTGTTCCCAACATGTTCCCCCATGTCCCTGCGCCACCCTGTGTCCCTCCCATGTCCTGGTGTCCCCCCCTGCCCCTGTGTGTCCCCGTCACGTTCCCCTGCGTCCCACTGTCCCCCTTGTGTCCTGGTGTCCCGCCCTGTGTCCACCTGTCCCCCCCCATGTCCCAGGGCCCTTCCTGTGTCCCCTCCAGTCCCCGTGTCCCCCCGTGTCCCCCCTGTCCCCACGTCACCGATGGCCACGAGCTGCAGGAACCAGCGGTGGGTCTGGGGGAAGTGGCTGTGGATGGAGGGGCCGGGGGCGCCCAGCAGGTCCAGGAGCACCAGGAGGCTCTAGGGACACCATGGGACATGGGGACA